TTATTCTATACAGGCATAATGGATGCAGTCGACGAGAAAATCACAATTATTTATTTCAAGTCTGATGGAAAGTGGGTATTGAATGGTAATAGGGAATACGAATGGGTTGGAAAAGTTAAGGATGGGAAGGGAGTCATATTCATGTGTCCTCCAACTGAATTGAAATACAAACGTCTTGTTGAAGAGTTATATTCTGAAATGCAGGCTGACCTAAGTAAAACAGACATGAAGCTGAGCTGTTTGTCGGCTTTAAAAGGAGGTACTGAGCCGATTTACATATCGAATGATAAACAAGTTTTAATTTATCTTCTGGACAAAATGAATGGAGGCAGAAGCATGCTTCACGTGGAGATAGAAAAGGCGAGGTCAGAAAATGAGTTTAGAATTCCTGATTTAGCGAGTTGTGTTGGACCATATGGAGGTATAATATGTGTAGGTTATAAGGATTGCGATGTTATCCAGAGTCCAAATTTCAAGAGTAAAGTTGGGAGTAATAGTTTATGTATTGGAGCAGCAGCAGCAGTTGAAGTGAATGGAAATGCGACAGATGTAGTGGACTCTGTAAATGATATTCTCGCCGATACTGTAGTTGATCGAAATGAGATTGGTACAGATTTAATGGACCGTGAAACTGGACTTGATGGAAATGAGAATGTTGTAGTGGAGTGTGCAATGACTATGCAAGCTGAAAGCACGTCTGATATGGCCATGGTAATTGTGGAGGACTCATTGTTTTGTACTTCAGTATTCGAATTTACGGATGGATTGAACATAGATATTGGGTATGAGTTTGATAATAAGCAAGAAGCGCAAGAATATATACGAAAGGGTTCAGTTAAGACTTGTTTCAGCTATGTTACAGTGAAGTCTGACAAGAAGTTGTGGGAGATAAGATGCAAGTTTGCTGGATCAGGTTGTAACTGGAAATTGCGCATCGCATCGATCCCGAGTTCGAATCGTTTTAGCGTAAGAACACACTGTAACACCCGTATCCCGCTTCCCGTGAACAGGATGCGCCACATGGACTAAAACCAATTAAAATAATACCAAATAAAAATACGGGAATTTTAAAACTTTCTAACCATAATACGCAGCGGAAATACACACGATCAATATCGCAAAACAACACATGTCCGAATAGTAAACGCACATCGTACAAAATATGGGAATACAATTCCCGTAGTCCAAAATACAAAACCCGTACATGATGTTGCCTCTCTCAGGTCGTCGTCGTCCAATGCACTAGGCATAATCCTCGTGATCTGAAAAATTTAAAAACCACGAGGGCTAAGCACAACTGCTTAGTGAGTAGCCCGGGTTGAACCCGGTAAACCCGTTCTCATCGAGAACAGTGTTAAAACGATAATTCACAGTCAACAAACAAAAAACAATATATATATAACATGCATAACATTCACCACAACCATATCAATCACAA